AAACCAAAATAAAAATCATAATTAAAAATGTTTAACTAAAAAATATATACAGATATTTATACTATGTATATATTCATTATTATGAAAAAATATATAATTTTTCCAATTGTACCTTATAATTATGTAACTCTTTTCTCGCTTATTTACCAGTTTTAAAAAATCTATAATATTTACGTTATTTCGTTTATATATATATATACAGGATAATTAACAAAATATCACAGATTATTTAATACAGACAAATAAGTGAGAAAAGAGGTATATAATTGTAAGGCACAACTTGAAAAATTACATATTCTTTTTATGAGTTCCTATATATAGAAATAGAAAATTTAACCAATATAAGGAATTCAGCTTTTGGTCGAGGCAATGTTCCATAAGAGACGAAAATTGAGAAATCTGAGGAATTTCTTTTATGCGGTTTTCTTTTAATTCACGTAACATATAAACGGCGAAAACGACAAATTCAATTTGTGGTTAAAATAAAGGAATATACGATAATCTAAATATAGATTTAAATCTTGAGAAAATACATTCTAATAGATATATCCTAATAATGATGTGATTGTGGCATTTTGTGAAATTGCAATTTTGGATGTTACAGGGAAGAGGGGAATAGAGTATTTCAGTTTGGCAGAGTTTTAGATTTTTGAAAGAACAAGAAGCAGGTCATCGTGCTCTCGCTCTTCATGAAAAAAACAGCTGCACGCCGATTTTCCGAAACGTGGGCGTCTCGTCTGCTGAGAATTCTGCGTAGGCGTTTGTTTGGGTCTTGCTCAAGCCACGTGCTATTTCCTTGCATCGACGCTAAGATATGTTCTCGTGTTTTCGCGACTTCGAATGATCGCGCGGAATGCAATTTGAAAAACAAAAATTGAATTCGCCTTATAAAACCTTGAGATTAATTTAGGGTTCGTTTATTGCATAACATGTTAAGAAAGTTCTATGCCACTATATTTGTTCGTGTTATTACATATTAGGAGAACTCTACGCCACTGTATTCGTTATATATGATACAAGACTGCTCGATAATACAAAACTGAAAAGTTGAAGGTTAGAACTAGTACCATTTATATAGTACCGACTATTTTATTTATGGGAAGAAGAAGAAGAAAGTGTGATCAGATATATGCAGGCAACAAAGTATTTGTATATCGTGGTCCTCTCATTTAATATTTTAACTACGCGACGAATTCTTAAAGATATAGCATATAACTTTAAAAAGAAAATATTTCGCTTGAGCTATCTAATTTGCTTAATAAATCGCCTTCGAAACAATTGCAGCTTGAAAAAGACTTATCTTGAGAACTTATCATGAAAACTTATCTTGAAAAAAAAAATAACATGAATTCTCATATTTTACATATCAAAATTTTTTAATTTCGACCTACTAAAACCATTTTTAAAATCAAACGTTTGAAACACTGTTTACATCTAAATAACATTTCTTTATTATAATTTCATTCACACAATGTCCAAAACAAGAAAAAGGAATTTATATTATGATTTGTATTTTTTATTTACAATATCCTAGAAAAATATAAATTTTGCGATCTTCAACAAGATATATTTGTATTCGAAAAGAGCAAAGTTTTTAGTTGTTTAGTTATTATTGCGACTCTGATTAACACAACTGATTGACACAAATTAATATGCTTATTATATTCAAATTGAATAATAAATTTCCATATATTTAATATATCACAGGATATTTACAATGAGGTTTTAATTATTTATCTTCTCTCTTCTTTCTTTCTCGTTTTTCTTATTTATCTTTTTCAATTCGTATTCATGCTACTTGCACAATATATTAACTTGTCGTTTGTCAGGGGATCTCTAGATTATCTGACGTTCGTTTGCCTTATCAAAACTGTTGACTGATTTTTTTGTCTACGATATAATTTCCTACGTTTTCCTTTCACAGTATATTTGCACGACAATGTAAGTGTCTCTCTTTCCCGTTAAGAATCCCCTGTTTGTTACAATTGTGCTTTCGCAGCTACTGTATACTTTTGTTTATTGGAATTCAACATATAATATTACAAATCAGTTAATAAATGAACAAAATGAAAACAAAGATGAACAAATTCGTTCCACTGTTGAGTGTCACTCACCTTTCTTCAGCTCATCGTGGCATGGCCTATGATAAATCAGAACGCACTATCAGCATCCTCTCACTGTATTTTTAGGCTTGTAGGACTACATTTTGTTCACCATTTTTATGCGTCTTCAAACTCCTTACACAAGACATCCTCCGACAGTTCGTTTACAGTTTAAATCCGTCCGTCCGTCCGTTCTCTAGTAGACACTAGCGAATTTATCTTTTTCGATGGCAAAGTTTTGTTAGTACTCTGTCACACGTGAGTATCCGCTCACGTATCTTGATGCCTTGATTGCGACTGAGGCGATCAGTGAAAGTATTATCGTCTGCAAATTCCGAGGTTCCCCGTGAAAAATCGTCTGCCGAAGATGACGTGGATAGGTCGCCGCGCGGACTATCCAACTCGCGGAAGCTTTAACTCGCGCCTCTCAGTGATCGAGGCCGAACTGCAGTCAGGCGAAAGTCCGATGGAACTCCGCAAGTTTCCTCTCGGAGGTGCCGAGGTTGGCGGGGTTGAATGAAGTGCACCCGCCATTGGTCGGGCTGACTATGACGTCACTGCATTGATTGTCCCGCGCATGCCACACCACGTGGCTCTCTGAAGATTCTCTCTTCCCTCTCTCTCTTCCTCGACCTCCTCTTTCTCTCTCTCTCTCTCTCTCTCTCTCTCTCTTTCTCTGCTTGGCATCCTTTCGATCCTCCAACCCGTCGCTTCGCTAGCTTGGATGAAAACTATTTACAGGATATACAGAAAAGAAAGAGAGAGGAAGAGAGTGAGGGAGGGATGAATTCTTCTCTAATAATGTTTTTTTGCTTCACCGCATCGCTGATAAATGAAATAGTTTCTGATCGATGAGCAATTTAGACAATCAATATTTATAATTGCGAAATATAAATTGGTAAAATACACGTTTCTCTTATTCATCCGCATCTTTCGATGTGATTGGTTTATTTGAGAACTATAACGATTTATTTTTTTGCGATGTCTTTTTGTAAAGAATGTTTCTGTAAGGGATATCTGGTAGCGTTTTTCGTGAGACATGTATATTATACAGAATGTTTCACATTTAATGATACAACTTTCGTATGCAAACTGGATAGTGCACTCTATGGTAGTGCGCAGTTCAACATTATGCACTGTCGTTGCCAAGAGGTTATCAACAAATTCGCGCCATCTTGCGTGATATTTTGCCTACAGAGCTCGCTCTACTATATTTCGCGTGCACTCATTTGCTAACATTTTTTAATAAATTTCTTAATAATAATTGTGATATTTGCAAAATAGTACAGGATTTTTTTCTGTTCAGTTTGTTGAGTTACTCTATCTACATACGAGCGTTATGTCATTATTTACGTCAGCGATCGGCGCGATCCGTATATAACATCGAATAATATTTTTGTATCAATATACAATTAATCGATTTAATCGCGGCCGATATTCATATTGTCATTTCATTTCCTCACGTGAGGATATCTTTCTTGCCTTAACCCTTGCCCCGTCCCACTCCCGCCCTCGCTTCGCTGTCCATTGGAGGCTACGTACTTCCGAATTGCGTGCAGACACCCCAAGACTGACGTTTGTCCCGGATGCCTAATTGAACGACTCCAAAAGTACTCGGTTGTTGAAGCAGCAACGACGCAGCCACCTCTACTCATCGTTGTTGCCGCGGTGGCTGGTGTTCTCTTCTCCAGCAACCCCTCATTCACCCAGTTTCGTCGGCTCCCCACTCCCTTATCTTCAGGTTCGCACTCCTGAGTGCAGTGAGCTCTCGTGGCCGCTCGACCCTCGCGTCCCGAGAGCGAGGAAAAGACGCAGCTCGACGTATTACGTCTTCGTATCTCTCCGCTGATTATTCTCGATGAACATGCTAGTTATCCGCGAAAAATCGATCCGGTCGTTATGACAACTCGGAGCATCCTTCTTTCTCTCTCCCTCTCTCCCTTTCTCTATCTCGCTCTCCTCTTCCCTCCCCCTTTCTCTCTTTCCGTCTACTCCCTATATAAAAAAATAGTCTCCCCCTCTCTGACCCTCTACTTTAATCACAAATTCAATATAGATGTGCAATATGTTATTGATATTTAAACTGCATTTAATTAACCCAACAGGAGAATTATTCCCACAACGAATAATCAATGACGCATTCTTTACTTGTGTTTTTTTGCGGCGCGTGGTTTTTGCGGAGCGAAGACTGATGCAATGTGGAATGTTAAAAGAAATCTGTCTGAGAGGAAATAATTCAGTTTTAATATACTCATATCGACTGCTAATTATCATTTAATATTTATTTTGTATAACATACAAACAAACCGCCGAAATTTCTTGCACTAATAACATCAAATTAAACTAACATACATCTTATAAACAACAACTATTAAAAATGTTGAAATGCAAAACTAGAAATGTTTAGTGCGAAAAATGTCCGATTTCTAGTGTTCCCTAAAATTCATGTCGAAAGCAACAAGCGTTTCCTTAAATTGCGTAAAGATATTACGAGAAAAATATTGCAAAGTAACTATGCGATTATTTGATTTTTTTAATTATTATATTTCTCATTCACGACATAAAAATTACATATTTTGATCTTAGAATCCAATAAAGTAAGTTCAACCGATATAAAATTAGATAAAATAATGGAATATTTTGAAAATATCCCAAACATGCGTTAAAATTAATAAGAAGTAAAACAGAAAAGTTCTACATTATCAATATTACTAGCAATAATATTATATAGAAAAGTATATACATATAACTGTCTACGCATTTCAAGAACATGAAGATTAAAAATAGACATTATGTGTAAATAATCATAATCAGATATATTCGTAAAAAACTAAAGAGAGACTAAAGAAATATGAGAAATTTATGTTATATTCTTTTAATCGGAGTAATGCGTATAAGTAGAAGTGATCAAGCAATATCCAAAGTATGCGATCGAATTCTAAAGAATATCATAATCTAAGCGTAGAGTTATAAAATACTGAGAAATTACAATTTACAGTAATTGCATTTTAGTAATTATGTAGTCCCAGAAGACTTGGCAAAATTGTTTTTTTACGGGATTACATTGAACGCGGGAAGGCGGTAGGAGGGAGAGGAGAGCGAGAAGGAGAGAAAATAGGGCATTTCGATTTTGTGTAGTTTCGGCCTTTCGAGCGGACAAGAGCGAGGTCGCCGCACTCTCGCTCTCTGCGAAGGCAACGGTTGCACGGTGATTTTCCGAAACGTGGGCGTCTCGTCTGCTGAGAATTCTCTGCGTAGGCGTCTGTTTGGGTCTTGCTTGAGCCACGTGCTGTTTCCTCTTGCATTGATTCTACCAAGATACGTTTCTCGCGTTTTCGTAACTTTAAGTGATCGCAGAATGCGACTTAAGACAATTTTTTAAATTCGCTCTAAGGAGCTATGAGATTAATTTAGAATTCGTTGGTCGCATTGCAACATGTTAAAAAAGTTTTACAAAAATATATGCACTATGTCTGATATCAGACAGAGTCGATAATTCAGACTTGACAAATTTATCAGTTTACAATCAAGTACTATTTACGATATTACTTGTCTTAAGAGGGAGTAAGTGCGGTTGTCGGTATATGCACACGAAAAATATTCACACACATGTAATCCTTTCAATTAATCCTCTATATTCCTGAGTATTTTTAAGAATACGCATATATAATAATTTTAAGTGTAAAAATATTTTATTTGGCTTATCTATTTCGTTTAATAGAATGTTTTCAAAGACATCTAGTTGTGGTTTATCTATCACGAAAAAAACTGAATTTTCATAAATTTTCTTATGTTTCGCAAAAAATTTTTTAAATTTATATATTTACATCTAAATTGTGTATTATCCCTCTAATAAAATAAAACTAAATTTCTAAAATAAAAAAATCTCAAAGAGTAAAGAAGTTTGAACTTTTTTCAAGTTTCAAATTCAAATGTGATGTTTGTATCTTTTATTGTGCAACATTCGGAAGTAGAATAGATTTAGTAATCTTGACCGAAATACTTTCGATCAAAGATAGTAAAAACGGAAAAATATTATTTTAACTGTTGAGCGTCACTTACCCTTTTCGAGCTCATCGTGATGGTCCATGATAAACTAGAACGCACTACCAGCATCTCTTCACTGCTCCTTCAGGCTCGCAGGACTACACTGTCGATCGTCTTCAACCGACTTGAATCCCACACAGGACATGTCATCCCCCAAAAGCTTTCTTGTAGTCTGGATTCTCTCGTTCGCTTTTCCTTTGCTGGAGATCAGCGAAGTTATCTTCTTCAATGGCAACGTTTCGTCAGCACTAAATCGCACCACCTGAGGATTCGCTCGCGGCTCGTGCCGTCGTGCGACTAAAGCGATCCGTGGCAGTGTCGTCGCGTGTAGACTCCGAGATTCTCTGTAAAGAATCGTTCGCCAAAGGTGACGCGGATGGGTCGTCGCGCGGAGCGCGTTCAAGCTCGCGCCTTTCAGTGATCGTGGCCGAACTGCAGTCAGGCGAAAGTCCGACGGAACTCTGCGAGTTTCCACTCGGAGGTCCCGAGGCTGGCGGGGTTGAATGAAGTGTACCCGCGATTGGTCGGACAGACTATGACGTCATTGCATTGATTGTCCCGCGCATGCCACACCACGTTGCTCCCCGATGATCCTCTTTTCTCTCTCGCTCCCACTCGATCTTCTCCTTTCTCTGTTTCTCTCTTTCTGCTTGGCCCTCTTTCGATCCTCCGACCCGTCGCTCCGTTGGCCTGGGTGAAAACTATTTACAGGATATGCAGAAGAGAGAGAGAAAGAGAGAGTGAGTGGGTGAGTGAGTGAGTGAGTGAGTGAGTGAGCGAGCGAGCGAGTGAGTAACAGAGAGAGAGAGAGAGAGAGAGAGAGAGAAGTGGATTCTCTCCTCTAATAATCCATTTTTCCCCTTGGCTGCTTCGCTGATAAACGAAACGGTCTCTGATCGGTGAGCAATTCAGCCAACCGACATTTATAATTACGTATTATAAATTGGAAAAATACACATATGTCCGTATCTTTCGATGAAATCGATTTAGTTAAAAACTATAACGATTCATTTGCTGCTAAACATTCTTGTTCCTGTAAAGGACGCAAAATAGCGTCTTTATGATACTGTTATATGCTACACTATTATATGCTATATCCACTTGATTCGAGACACTATCGTGTCGCGTAATTAGCTCCAGACTGCCAGTGTTAGTCATTTTGATCTACATTTCGAATATCAATTTAATAAACAAAAATGTTGTTCATAGGCATTATTTTCCTTCTGTGAAAAATAATAAAGAATATTGAGGCAAGTAACAAATGGAAAAATAATTAAGAACATGAAAATAACTCCATGTTAGCAATAACGGACTAACTATCAGTAATCTAGAAATCTAGAATCTAATCTAGAATCAAGAATCAAGTTATAAATTACACGATGAAAGATGAGAAAAAAGAAGTACTGGTGCAGCAAGCATCCGCAAAAAGTTTTCGTGAAGAAGAGGAGGAGAGAGAAGGTACGCTTTGAAAGCTTCGTGATGACCTTCTAGTTCATTTCAACTTTATTCACCACACGCGCTCTTGGTGCAATCTCTTAACTCGTAGACGAGTGCAACCATTGAGAGGATCGCGTCAGCGATCAACGGGATTCGTAAATAACGGCGGATGATACTTTTTCAATCGATATATATTCGATCGATTTGGTCGTCGAAGCCGATACTTGAACTGTCTCGTGCATAGTGATCGCGTCATCGCGTCTCGTTGTCCCATTTCCTCGCGCAAGGATATCTTCCCCGTCCGAACTCTCTTGCCCCCGTCCCACTCCCGCCCCTTACCCTCTCTCACGGTCCCCGCTTCTCTGCCCATGGGAGGCTACGTACTTCTGAATCGCGCCCAGGCATCCCAGAAGTGACGTCTGTCCTGGATGCCTAATTCAACGATTCCAAAAATACTCGGTTGGTGAAGTAACGACGACGTAACCACCACTACCCGCTGTCGTTGCCGCCGTTGTCGTCGTCTCTGTCGCCGCCGCCGATGTTCTCTTCTCCAGCAACCTCATTCACCCAGTTTCCTCGATCCCTCCGCTCCCTTATCTTCAGGTTCGCACTCTTGTGTGAAGTAAGTTGCCACTCGACTCTGTCCCGAGACCGAAGAAGAGACGCGGTCCAACGTTTCCTCTTCGCTAATTATTCTCGACGGGCACGCTGGTTATCCCCGGGAAATCGATTTGGTTCTCATGATGTTTAGAGATATCTCTTTCTGCCTTACTCTCTCTCTCTCTTTCTCCCCCTTCCTCCCTACCCTCCCCCTCTCACTCCTCTTCTCTTCTACCCCTTCCTCAATTATAAACCAAAGTAGATATATGTTATTGATAATTTAACTGCGGGAAATATTGTTTCTAGGGCATATAATAAATAATATTTTCTATCTCTCTCTTCGTAACCCTTTGCCCGCAGTATCGGGTCGGGTGAAAGCTTTCGTTTCAGGTATCGTATCCGTGTAGAGAGATTAGATTTGTGCTCGATCTCTCATCGCTCTAGGATCTTTTTGTGTGTACCATGTTGTCGAGGTAATTCTTTTGACAATTGTCGTAGTCTTGTTCCCTTTTTCTTTTTCCTTGCAAATACGGCATCGTCGACTCTCGATCTCGCGAATCGCAACATGGCTTGATCCAAAAAACAACGATGCTCACTCCATCTTTAGCGCTCTCGGTAAATGCAAAACTGTTCTTTCGTTTCCTTCCTCCTTCTTTTTCCTTTTATCGCGCTTACTCCGTTACCCTTTCATATTTCGCACCTTTCACGCTCGGTTCCGCAAAGTAGAGATGCAGCGGACCGATGCTGGGACGTACAATCGAGAGAGACAGTGAGATACGGGGAAGGCGCGCGAGACGGAGAGAGTCCTAGCCAGGCAACCGGGGGTTTCAGGTCGATGCACCCCTATGCTCGCTTGCCAACGAGAGTTCGTCGCCCGGCGTCATTCCCTGACGTCATTCCACCCTACCCGCGATCCTGGCTTATCTCCCCGCCCGACCCGCGTGCCGCCCGCCGACACGGATGCGACCGGACAGACCGAATTTTCGTCCTTCGGAAAGTGGATCGGACTTCTTTCTTCGCTCGGGTTATTTGTGTCGCCTTGGAATTGTTTCTTCGTTACTTATCCCGAATTTACGAGAGCGATCTCTCATTGCGCGATTTGTCGCCTACCCTCTATTTCTTTCCTCTCTCTCCCCCCCTCTCTCTCTCTCTCGCCCCTCTCTCTCTCTCTCTCTCTCTCTCTCTTATTAGGTCTGAATATAACGTATATGCTTTCCAAACATCAGTAATTATTATAATGCACGCTCAACATCTTTCATTTATACTATCATTTTATTTTACTTTATTTTTTATCATTATCATGTATATTCATATTTGTTTAGCGCTAGGGCTAAACTTGTTGAGGGCACTGCGTCCCATGACTCCAATGAACAATACTTCTTTCTCTTTCTTCTTCTCTCTTCCGATTTTTCTCTATAATCTTCTCCTCTTTAGTACTCTTTCGTAGAGCGCTGAAGTTATTAAAATTTGCCGTAACGTTCGGTTGACGCTTCACCAGCTAAAACTTAGTACAGATTTGATGCCTGGCGCTTTATGGCAGAATCTTAACCTATCCTTCATCCGTATCTGGACTATTATTGCTGTATCCTCATCGACACAATTAATCTTCGATTTCATCGGGCTATTAAGACTTGCGTTAGGTTTGCCTATGGTATTAGAAAGGATGAGTATATAATCCCTTACTGCAACAACTTATACTAGATTAACATTTGAAAGCTTATCTACAATACGCGGAGTAAGCTTGGCGTAAGTTGGACTAAGAAATAAAAAGAATTTATAAATATATTTATATTTAATTAGTTATAAATATATTTAAACACCATGTATAAATATATAAATATCATTTAAATATAGTTACACACGTTTTTTCAAAATTATTATTTTTTTAAATTATTTTTTGTCATTATTATATGTATAGTAAAGCACTTTATAAAAGTGTAATTACATATACCAATATATTTTTCATATAATATATTGATGATATAAAATGGTCCGTTTTTTTTACTAGTTTATAGTTAATTTTTTTACTGGTTTATATATTTTTGCTACTTTACGTACTACTATATTTATATATTTAAATATATATATATATATATATATATATATATATATATATTTATATTTATATACTTAAAATTTATATTTATATTTATATTTATATATTTGAAATAATTCATAATAAAAAGTTTACCTGGGTTGGTTACATTATGTCTATATAATTATTACTAATATTTTCCTTTTACTATAAATATAATGTTCTTAACTATATTGTTTTTAATGTTATAGTTGTAAATATTATATATTTTTCTCTCATTTAACTTTCCGGAAGTTTAAACGAAATCGATATATCCCGTTGAACTCTTTTCCACTATAACAACTAGATTTGCCCATTCACTAAAGAAAAATTTAATAATATTGATTTGTATCTCCGCGGCGCTAGTTCTTTTTCTCGCTTTCACTTTTGCATATCGGTACAAACTCACAGTTTCGGTAGTTGCTATCGTAACTCGTGATGACAACAATAAAAAGGAAAGAAATTTCGCTTACTCTAAATTCTCTGGAGGTAAGTGAGCGGAGCACATGGTTTTGAAAGGATATTAAAGATTTCCCCTTCTTTCAACCTTCCGACAACTTGGATTTTCTGTTTCCTGAATTCGCGATAAGGATCGTTTTATCCTCACTGATTTTCGGCAATTTCCACTTTCGTCTTACGTGGGTATTTGCAAGCTTGAATCCTACTTAAGTGTTAGTTTCTGACGACATTCTGTGATCTCCGTCAATTGTGAAATTCTCGGAGAATCTTTCCTCGTTTGTCTTGCTGATTTTAGCGTCTCTTTCTCTGAAGTCAGTGGTGCGGTTTTTCATCAGTTCCTCTCGGTGACTTCTCCCCTCTAATAATTACAAATTTAAACAGGTATCAGATATTGATAATTATTTTGCTAAACCAGTCTAACGATAATTTATATGTAAAAGAAGCAGTGCCATATAGCTTCTGCATCTTCCACTTTTTGTGCGTTTGTGCTTTTTGTCTTCTCTTGGATTTCTCCTTGGCCATCCGCCGGAGATTTAAAGTTGTAAATGTACAGAATGGGACGATGATGACCAAATCTGCTAGCCATATGCACAGGCTCCTAAAAGTAAGAGGCGTCGTTCTTCTACACCGAACAAGGGCGATATCTGATTTATCCTTCTCGGAGCAAATTGCCCTTGAGACGGGCTTAAAGAGATTTTCAAGTCTCGAGGGTTCATAAAATTGATTTCTCTTTTCTGTATTTTTTTAAAATTTATAGTCTTAGAAATATATCCTATAGATATATATATTTTTTAGAAAAAATAAAAATTAACCAAGATATATAGGTCAGAATAACGCAGCGCAT